TAGTTAGGTTTTGACACAAATTTCACGATTCGATTCGATTCTCATTCACAAGTTTTGATTCGATTCGATTCAATATTGATTATTTTTGGATATATATCAGGTACAGTACTTGTCAAATTAATTAACTAATGCTGTAAAATATACATGAGAGTCATTTGGTACAACATTACTATAATACTGATGGTAAAAATGGACTGATTTCTAAGCTATAGCATACAACTGTTAAAATTACACAATTCAGTTTTTAAAATAATAAAGTTACAATTACATAATATTTCTACTTCAATTCATTTTTTTTTTTAAATATAAAAATTTAAATGGTGGCTGTCATAAAAAATTGATGGATTTATTCAAACATAAATTAAACACAAGAACAGTAAAAATTATAATGAATATGTTCAATGGTGCATATATTTAGCAAAATACCCCTCTGTACAAGTTTATTTTTCTGGCTGACTAATGAGTTTATGGTCACCGAATATGTTTGTTTCTGAGGTAAATGTGACGTTACGTGACATTGTTTACAAGACTTTATATTGAAGTATTTGCGCGGCTGAAACACTGACTGAGCGATTACATGAGACAGGATACAGATTGTAAAGTTGTACTCTTTCTTTCAACTTGCCTTCGGAATGTTTAGTCATGTTTATTTTGTGTTGAAGCTGGTATTAATGTGGAGGAGATGATCAGTTCACGTGCGCCTCGCGCTGCTGTGTCTGTTGAACTGAGGCACTACAGCGATCTGTCACTCCACTTTAAACAGCGCCAAAACGGCATTTATTGTTTGAATACTGCAATACAATGGACATAAATTGAAACCTGGGACTTTGTTTCATATTAAAAGCACCAAAGCACAATGCTTATTGCGATTTATTGGATGGGAAGTGTCCTTCAATGTTCCGTCCATTACCTGAAAACAGGCTACACTAATCGATTCTTGGGATTTAAGAATCAATATCGTTCCATAAAAAAGAGAATCGATTAATATCGAGATATCGCTATTTTTTACCCAGCCCTAATTATAATCAATACATTTTGAATATTAAAATTCTATATTTTTATGTAAAAAATTAAATTAATCTATTTAAATGTTACAGTTGAATTACAACATTCCGCATGAAAAAATTATAAGCATTTTGAGATTTACAATTAAACTACTATTTTTTTTTTTAAGATTAACTTTGAGTGTTAGATGATGGCAAAGGCAAACTAAATGTAAAAATATAGTAAATAAGCTGCACAATTAAATACTGGAGAAATTAAAATAATAGAGAAATGAAAATAAAATCTAATTATCAGCAAGTACTCATGATTTAAAAAAAAAAAACTACTAACCAATATGGAACATCATGCATCCTTATATCTTACCACCTGTACTGAGAAAATCCTATTTCTGACTACTTTGAAGATAATCAAAATTGTCTAGGTGTTTGTGTGGACCACATCAAAGCCTGTCTGATTTTCAAAAAAGAGAGTCAAAACCATCATAAATGACATAAAATAGCATAAGAGAATGACATACTGGTACAGGGCATCTGTAGAGGGTCAGAGTCTGCACGGTAGTATCCACTGCGGCACACACAGTTGGTTGCACCCTCACTGGTGGTACGGCTGTTGATGGGACACTGGAGACATTGCTGGTCCCCTTGAGATGCTTTGAAGGAGCCAGATGGACATGCTGAATTAAGAAAAGTAGAGACAAACTATAGTCAACGGTAAATCAGAATAAGCAAGTCATTCATTTAGGATTTGATGAGCTTGTTTTAAGATGCATTACACATACATACTGTAAATGTCTGGAGCACATTATCATCACTCTCACTCTCATTAATGTCTCCCCACATTAAGCACATTTTCTTATAAAACAGCCATCTTTATATTTCTGTTTGGAACCAAAAGGAAATGTAGGAAGTGAAAGCCCTCATAATGCATTCTGATGGGCCTCCAGTGCAGTTCTGAAGCTTGGTCTCGCACTGATAATCTTTTGTTTGGCATACAAAGAGCCGAATGGCACTCAGATATATCTGTGGAATAAACTAACAAAGACCCTGTAAAATCACAGCACAGTTTTTCCCTGCTGCCTAGTTTTACTGAAAACAAAATGCAAATGTGCTCGTGCTATTCAGAATTCTTTTTTTAAATGAAGAATTTAAATACTTTTTGAAATCTTCATTTTAATAAGGTCTGAACTGGATATTTAGGCATTGATTATGATTTTGTTATTTGCTTCACAAAGAATCTGTCTTGGCAAAAAAAAGAAAAGAAGATGTTTACATGATAATGTAAACAATTTAGAAATAGACCAACTTTTTAACTTTCAAATCAGGAAATACAGGCCAGCCACCTACCCTTGAGATAATAAAAAAGCAGCAGTAAAGGAATAACAGCAGTTTTAAAAGATGCTCAAAATGTGAGTAATGTGACAATCTGCCTGCATTGAGAGTATGACGGGGAGCAGCAGCTAGTCCGTGAAATTATGATCACAACCATTCTTGCAGACTGATTTGCTGAAAGTATTAAAATAGAAAACATTAAGTCTATTATATCTTTAAAGCAACTTTGAAATAATACATATTATGAAAAGTGATATTTAAATAAACAATAATAGCAAAAAAACTGATTTCTTTCCCTTCAGTGTCATCCTGTTGAGAATCACAAGAAGGTAGCTAAAAGGATCATTTGGATCACGTTTCAGCTGTTTCTGTCCATATTAAGAAAGTCAATAAAGTCCAAAACTTTCAAGCTCTAAAAAGGACATAAAGGATTCATGAAATTAATCCATATGACTGATATATCAAACATCATCTAACGTCTGGCCTCACTGATTCTCACATTACATGCCCAAGAACATGATGTTAGCGTCACCATATTTAATGGTCTATGTACACTACCATTCAAAAGTCGGTAAGATTTAAAAATGTAATTTATTCCTGTGATGGAAAAGCTGAATTTTCAGCAGCCATTACTCCAGTCTTCAGTGTCACATGATCCTTCAGAAATCATTCTTATATGCTGATTTGTTGCTCAAGAAACATTTATTAATGTTGAACAGTTGTGCTGCTTACTATTTTTTTGGAAACTGTGATACGTGTACATTTTGTTCAGCGTATCATCAGTGTAAATGACAGATTTCACCTTTTTGGGTGAACTATCCCTTTAATTGTAAGTTATTGGTCCTAGCAGCTGAAACTGACATATTTACATTTTTAGTGAAGAGTCAAGACATACTTTGTGAAACTGGGACTCTCTGGTGAACCGGGACGTTACCATATTTATAACTTTTAATATATATTAAAAAATGAAGACTACACCATCCAGCCATGTGACTGCAGAATGATATGTTAAATTCATGCAGCATTTTGACAAAACTGAAACTCACACTATTTCCCAGTCACAGACTGCAAGACAGACAGCATCCTTTATTTGCTCACACCAAATTGGTCAACAGCTGCCACGTCTGCCTGTCGGCCAAAATAACCTCAACGCTCATAATAATACAAACGTTTGTACCACACAGAAATAGCCCACTGACTCCGACTAGAAATAAATCAAAGATCGAGGGTAAATGTAATACGTGTCACATATGATATGTGCAGGTGCAAAGCAATCAACACTTACCAAGAGCAAAGTGTGTTCTAGGAAGTACAATGAAACTCATTCTATTAGCCTAATACCCCAAATGGCTTTGACAGTAAAACATTACTCTTGGCTGGCACTCTCAGCCTATGATTGATGACAGAACATTCTCTTTCTGCCAGAAGGAATATAAGGCTTCCACGCTCACACATCAGAGTGAGTTAGAGTGGTGGACGCAGTGAATGAGGTGTTGGTTACCACTGAATGAGGCGAAGTGGGTGTGAGTGACAGTGTACAGAAGTGGAATTAAATCTGTGGTACCACAGGGCTCCACAATAGAGCCTGTCCCGTGTGAGAGGGAGAACGACAGCAGAACAATATGCCTGGAGTATATGACTGGAGTATTTAAGTAGGTGCTAATGGAATTCTGGGAGAAATTGATTAAAGACCTTTGTGGCACCGCACATTTTTTTTATAATCTTACATATCTGTTTATCTTCATTCCTGTGAGCAGTTGCGCTTTTTTATGAGGCACATTTTACAACAGGGAAAATCACAGTAAACACTTTATTGCCTCAGTATCCTTTGGTGAAAGACATTTTCTTGCCTCTTAAACACAAACTCACTAATTTAAAAGTGTGTAATTTTGTCAATGTTAAAATACTTTCTTTCTCTTTTTCCTACTTTCTTTTCTTTCTACTTCTTCATCTGAAAATGCAGAGAGAGCTATAAGCAAGACATTTGTAGGCAGATTCTCTCAAAAAATTTAAAAACCATGGGTCGGTTTGTTTGAGAATACAGTATACAGTATAGTTTGGGGGTGGGGCAGTCTGTCTGGCTGACCAATGGAAGATGAGGGGAGTGTTTGGGAAACCTGTTTGAAAACCAGTCATTTTTGGAGTTATTCCATTTGGAGATGCACCATGTGAGTGGTGGTGATTTTGATTCAGTAAACAAATCTTTGTAATGGATTGTGTTAAAGCGATAGTTCACCCAAAAATTAAAATTACCACATGATTTACGCACCCTCAAGCCATCCTAGTGTATGTGACTTTCTTCTTTCAGACGAATACAGCTGGAGTCTAGCTTCCGCTAACTTTGTACGCGCGTTCACAAGAGAGTGGCGTTCCAGTGGATGACGTAGGACATAGGTGTAGCTTAAGCTCTGGTGAGAAGTGACAAATGCGGAAGCTCAGAGGAGAGAGCAAAATGGATGCTTTTATGATGGATGCTTTAAAATCTCAACCACCATTCACTGCCATAATAAAGCTTGTAAGAGCCAGGACATTTTTTAAAAATAACTCAGACTGTATTTGTATGAAATATGAAAGTCATAGACACCTAGGATGGCTTGAGGGTGAGTAAATCATGGGGTTATTTTCATTTTTGTGTGAACTATCCCTTTAAGTGAGCCTTAAGGTGCACTCACATTTTCCAGTCATTTCAATAGGTACCCGCAGAATCAGGAATTTAGCGCATGCGTGAAGCATTTTCAAGGGAATTTTATGCCGAACTTGCATTGTGACCGCTCCTTTAGATTACATCATTGCCAGTAGGTGGTGACTTATTGAGTTTTATTGACTCATTAAATAAACAACTGACTTACCAGAATTGTTCAAAAACACAGAATCATTCACATAAGAGTGTCTTATCCTTTATTAAAAGGATGGTTACATTGATTTATCTATCGAAAAAGACAAAAATAGCCTAAGTTAATTAGGTTTCAAAAATATTCTTGCATCATTTACTTTGTGAATCAGCATCAATCATTTTTACATATTAAATAACTAGGATAATTCTTCCGCCTAAGATTGACTCATTTTGCACTGAATGAACAACATGCCCCCCTTCATTCGGCCGATTCTCATTCATAAATGTCCCAATTCGAGTCTTGGTTAAACTCGATAACGCCAACTCATTCACCAACAACATGTCCTAATCTGTTCATTTAGCTTACTAACGAGATGTCCTAGTTTGTTCAGTGTTTCCACTCAGAGTCTCGTTCAGACTCGAAACATAGACTCATTTAGTGCTTTTGCTCAGGAGGTCCAACCAATGAAATGGTCTTTCACAGTCCACACTCAAATACTACTGGCTCATGCTATAGTCAGTCTTTGAGGGTAGGAAAAACCACCAAAGTAGTCACACGTTTAAAAAGGAGAGACCTATGAGTCAGTGCATGGTGACTAAATGAGAACGATTCATTTACTTAAAATGATTCATTCACAAAACACAGAAACATCAATAGTTCTGTAACTCAATCGACAATAAATGTCTTCAAAACATGACAACTAAAGCCACAGCTAAATGCCACTGAGTTGCAATGACTAAACTGCAAGTAAGCTGTATTTTGAAGCTTTTATGGTAAAAGCTTTTTGCATCTCCATCAATCAGTAGGATGAATCAAGCTTATACTATATGACTCCATCTTCAGACACTTGGTCGCTTTATAAACAAGCTGCTCAGCTCAAAAACCACAGCCTGAGATCACAGCGGTTGACAGTGAGGAAATTAAATCTGCAGGAAAGAAAAAGGTCCATTTTTTCTCAGACAATGCAGAGACTGACATCACGGGCCTTTTTCATTGACAGACATAATTTCATGCAGTATAAGATATGGATGCAGTCTTTTGTAAGCCCTCTCCAACAATTTTCTTGGCCAACTTGAGGCCACAGATGTGTCTGTAACCCTACTTGGCAAAGCAGGCGGTTGGAGAGACATTAATATCCATTAGAGGCGCCGTGTCAAGCTGCTGAACTCATCTCAGGATTCACACAGGGGAGTTTCACTTGTTTAATGGGGGTGAAGGACTGAACTCATCTGTGTTATACTGCCTGTCATCTCCATATCAAGGTGAATGAAGAATTTAAGTTACTAAGGTAATTTTTCCTTGAGCATCCATGTTTCATGAAGCCTTCAAAAGCAGCAGCATCATTTGTGTTCGAGGAGTTTACTCTCCAATGAAACACAAATGTTCCTATTACATACAATCAACAGACAACTCAGTCCTGTACTTCAATTTGTTTAGGATTTCAAACTTGCTAAGTAAAAAGAGTAAAATTGTGAAATAATACACTTTTATACAACACCAATTCTTACGTT